TTATCAAATATGTCAATATATGTAAAGTGTAAATTGAAACACGCAGACATACAGTGAAATCTCGAAATCATTCGGATTAACAGAGTTTCGTAAATTTCTCTTATATATGCGCTGCTTTACAAACGGGATTTCACGTTTATATCTCCATAAACGGAAACAATATGATATTCAACAATACGAAATCAGTGATTTTTGCGCAATAATGCACATAGCACAGTCCATTATATTATCAGCCAATCAGTAAACAGTGTTCCGCTAGTGGGCTTGGCTAAATATTTACCTGTTGAAGGAAACATGAAATTACTTGCTTAGCACATAAAATGCCACAGGATCACTTGCAATTATATACGGATTGACAAAGATGAGAGAATTGAGCACCAAAAGTAGCATGTCTAAAATTATAAGAGGCGACTAACGGGATCGGGTGGTCAGGCTCGCTGACTTGGTTGATACATGTCATCGTATCTCAATTGCGTGGATCGATGCTCATGGTGTCAGTCCCCTGATTGTCTGGGAAAGACTCGATTATTTACAGGCCGCCGTCATATAGCTGGAATATTGCTGAGTGTGGCGTAAAACAAATAAACAAACAAACAATCAACCAAGTCACATAGCATGAACACCCGATCCATTGAGTCGCCTCTAACTACCAGTAAAGGTTGTTGTGGAGCAATTCTTACCAGGAATCCACACGGGACACAACTGTGAGATCCATTATTATACTAATATGGATATGAAAGGATCTGTCATGTTAAAAACGTCGAAGCGGACAGGAAACAATACTATCTATCAACACTACGCCATAGAAAGTATGTTCATTTCTGTGAAATGTTTAATTTCGATTTCGTGTGTGATACAGTTGTCTGAATTTCGTTTTTGCATCGACAATTCGTAATATAATGAAAAACATGAAAATAACATTGATTTTTTCGTCTTTCGTGAAACTGAAAAGGCACTGTCCAGGATTAACATGGATAAGTACAGTGTATCCCATTATTCAAAAGTAATTGAAGCCAAATCTATTCACAAACATTCAGTGTCAGGACTTGATAGTACCAGTCCTACATGTAAATGTAGGAAACGCCCTCAGGGGCGACGATGATGTCAGATGAAGTAGTGAGTGAGTGAGTTGGGTTTAACGCCGCTGTCAACAGTTTTCCAGACATATCGCGGCGTGTCAGCTTAATGTGGGAGGAAAGCCCGAAGTGATACAGGTCTCAGACGTTTGCCACTTCGGTGAAACTCACGAGAACGGGTATGGTGCTGACAATGACAAACCTAGAAACATAATAGGGGCGAACCGGGATTCGAACCCACAATCATAGGTTTTTGGGGTGCCCAAGGGACGCAACTCTGCACAGTGAATCGCGGCGCCTTAGGCGACTTGGCCACCCATGCCCCCTCAAATGAAGTATACGAACAGCCTCTCAACCACGTCAATCAATTGGACTGTCGCCATAGTATCGACATAACCATCTGGGCATACTCTGTACGATCTGGAAGCACATATGGCCGCCAATACATGGGTAGCCGTCTCTTTTGATTTTCTTATCGTGCAAACCTACATGTTGTTTCTAATGTTAGCTGTATATAAATAACTGTATTTACTTGCAATTGCAGTTTTGTTGGTGTTTGAAATAAGTCTTGATTACAACTAAACAAGAACGTTTATTCCAAATTGTAAATAACATATAGGGGCTGATTGGACACAAAGCCTAAATTGTATACATTATTAGATATATTCTAATTATATATCTTATATAGTTTTATTATGTAAAAAGTTGTGTTGAGTAATCAGAAGTGTTTATTCAGAAAATATGATAAAATGGAATTTTGACACTGATCATTAAAGTAAAAAGTATCAGTACATAGGTAAAACTAAGGTACATCTATAACGAAAAGATGACCCTCGTTGTGGAACCCTGCCTTTCAGCGACCAACTGAGGTCAAAGGCGTGAAGGCATCAAATGCAACAGTGACGGTAACCACAGTTACAGTAAAGCAATCGCACCATTCCATTGGGAGTACCAAAGCGAGCACACAGCAATGCATCATTAGAGAGTGGTTCTTCATCTGTTGCAGGTTCTCGGTATGAATGTTTCTACAGTGGATGAAGTGGCGGTGGTTGTGGATACCAGAACTACTACTGAGATTGTGCTGGAACTAGGATCTCTAGCCGCCGTTAGCGTTGTCGGCATTGCCGGCAACAGCCTCGTCATTGCCGCAATTGCATCATGCAAAGATCTGAAGACGACTTCAAATGGTTTCATTTTCAATCTGGGGTATGTATTATTGGCGCATCAAAATATAAGCAATTATGTATTTGTTAGCTAGGGAAGCTCCTATCTGCCATGGTTAAAATTATATTTATTTACTTCCCTAGCCATACTACCACGATGAGTAAATTATAGCGAAGAATATAGCGAAGTGAAGCTTATTGCGAGGGAACGTAATACGCTTTTCACCTTGACAGATAGGAGCTTCCGAAATTTAGCTCTAACACATTGAATTTCTAAAATCGGTTCAAGACATTGTGATCAAGACAACATAATCTTGAACATGACAATATGCTTCGAATGGCTCTATTGTGATCAAGGCAACATGAATTTGGACTTGATTATATGCTCTGAATGTTCTATTGTGATCAAGGCCACATGATCTTGAACTTGACAATATGATCTGTATGTTCTATTGTGATCAAGGCAACATAATCTTGGACATGACAAGGTGCTTTGAATGCTCTAATGTGATCAAGGCAACATGACCTTGGACTTGATTATATGCTCTGAATGTTCTATTGTGATCAAGGCAGCATGATCTTGAACTTGACTATATACTCTGAATGCTCTATTGTGATAAAGGCAATATTATCTTTGACTTGACTATATGCTCTGTATGTTCTATTGTGATCAAGGCAACATAATCTTCGACATGACAATATGCATTGAATGCTCTATTGTTACCAAGGCAACATGATCTTAGACTTGATTATATGCTCTGGATGCTCTATTTGGATTAAGGCAACATGATCTTGAGCTTGATTATATGCTCTGAATGCTCTATTGTGATCAAGGCAACATGGACTTGGACTTGTCTATATGCTCTATTGTGATCAAGGCAACATGATCCTGGACTTGATTATATGCTCTGAATGCTTTATTGTGATCAAGGCAACATGGACTTGGACTTGTCTATATGCTCTGAATGCTCTATTGTGATCAAGGCAATATTATATTTGACTTGACTATATGCTCTGTATGTTCTATTGTGATCAAGGCAACATGATCTTGGACATGAAATATGCTCTGAATGCTCTATTGTGATCAAGGCAGCATGATCTTGAACTTGACTATATACTCTGAATGCTCTATTGTGATAAAGGCAATATTATCTTTGACTTGACTATATGCTCTGTATGTTCTATTGTGATCAAGGCAACATAATCTTCGACATGACAATATGCTTTGAATGCTCTTTTGTGATCAAGGCAACATGATCTTAGACTTGATTATATGCTTTGAATGCTCTATTGTGATCAAGGCAACATGATCTTGGACTTGACTATATGCTCTAAATGCTCTATTGTGATCAAGGCAACATGATCTTAGACTTGATTATATGCTCAGAATGCTCTATTGGGATCAAGGCGATATGGACATTATACAAAACGAATTAGTAACGCAGGACTCAATGGATTTCTCTCTGCAGCATCCGCAAACGATTCTATTTAACTGTTATTTACATTGTCTGAAAATATGGAAATATAGCATGGTGTATTAGCTGTAGCATCATAGCATACAGTTGACATAACTGGCAGTGTGTATTATTCCAGCATTAACACGTGATCAACATTGCATAGCAATGCATCTAAGATCATCAAAGATAACAATATATATACTCCTCTGGGAGCTTAGAATGAAAATATGTGTGCACACCGATCCGAGGGCTGCAGTAATAATAACGTAGAGCCATGAACATATACTTGAGTGCAATTTGGCACTTTTATTTTTAAACTCGATATGTAAAACACCCCCCTTAACATAGAAGGTAATTCATTTAAAGAAATGTCATTACATTGGATTTTGGCATTATTTTGCGATAAGCATACCAAGAGGTGTACCTAATTAACCCATTAGAGCGATTACCAGCCTACTCACATAATAGCATGATATCGCAACATAACCCTTTCTGATCATCTGAAAAATCGGCTGCAAATGTATGAAGGTAAATTACACTCTCCAATTTTTATAATAGAAAAAAAAAGAAAAAAAGAGAAAGCACACACACTAAACGCAAAAACAACATCGTCCCTCCCCAAACAATTAAACAAACAAATCACACAAACCAAACATTATTTTCTGAAAACAAAGAAAAAAAAGGAAATAAATTATAAAGAAATGCAAATAAAACAAAAAAACTGAAGAAAAATTGCTCAAGAAAAACCTACATACAACCCCCCCCCCCCCCAGTAACAGCAACAGCAAAAAATAAAACAAGGCTATGCCGGGTTTTATAATATTGTAATTACTCTATCCTCCTCATTGTCAGCTCGTATGACAGACAAGCTTGCCTTACTGTGGACCCATTGTGCCCGGAATCACCACAGGGTGAAATCGATGTACTGAGGAAGACAAGAAAATGCGCTTCGAATTATGACCAGTGACATAAGTGTTTTGTTTTGGAGAATAATGCAAGTCTTATGTCATCTTTCAAACCAAGGCTATCTGTTCCATGGCAACACTTCGTCGTGAAGCTACGAGTACCCAACGGCGCTTTAGAACTATCGGATAACCCGTTGAACCACATACTTTACCCTGGTTAAAGAATTAGTTGCTCGTCAGGCGACGTTAACATTACAAATCTTTAATGCATTGTACGATTGTACTTGTCGAACACTTGTGCGTTATTGAAGACATCATGTATTATGTTCATTGGTGAATGTAATCGTGTCATGTAATAGATGCCTAGAAGAAGTATGAAACAGATCACAAACATAATTAATGTCTTCAGTCACTCTGGTTGGTGCTGACTCTCCACCGTCAGTCACTCTGATTGGTATTGATACTCCACCGTCACTCACTCTGGTTCGTACTGACTCTCCACCGTCAGTCACTCTGGTTCGTACTGACTCTCAACCGTCAGTCACTCTGGTTCGTACTGACTCTCCACCGTCAGTCACTCTGGTTCGTACTGACTCTCCACCGTCAGTCACTCTGGTTCGTACTGACTCTCCACCGTCAGTCACTCTGGTTCGTACTGACTCTCCACCGTCAGTCACTCTGGTTCGTACTGACTCTCCACCGTCAGTCACTCTGGTTCGTACTGACTCTCCACCGTCAGTCACTCTGGTTCGTACTGACTCTCCACCGTCAGTCACTCTGGTTCGTACTGACTCTCCACCGTCAGTCACTCTGGTTCGTACTGACTCTCCACCGTCAGTCACTCTGGTTCGTACTGACTCTCAACCGTCAGTCACTCTGGTTCGTACTGACTCTCGACCGTCAGTCACTCTGGTTCGTACTGACTCTCCACCGTCAGTCACTCTGGTTCGTACTGACTCTCCACCGTCAGTCACTCTGGTTCGTACTGACTCTCCACCGTCAGTCACTCTGGTTCTTACTGACTCTCCACCGTCAGTCACTCTGGTTCGTACTGACTCTCAACCGTCAGTCACTCTGGTTCGTACTGACTCTCAACCGTCAGTCACTCTGGTTCGTACTGACTCTCAACCGTCAGTCACTCTGGTTCGTACTGACTCTCAACCGTCAGTCACTCTGGTTCGTACTGACACTCCACCGTCAGTCACTCTGGTTCTTACTGACTCTCCACCGTCAGTCACTCTGGTTCGTACTGACTCTCAACCGTCAGTCACTCTGGTTCGTACTGACTCTCCACCGTCAGTCACTCTGGTTCGTACTGACTCTCAACCGTCAGTCACTCTGGTTCGTACTGACTCTCAACCGTCAGTCACTCTGGTTCGTACTGACTCTCCATCGTCAGTCACTCTGGTTCGTAGTGACTCTCCACCATCAGTCACTCTGGTTCGTACTGAATCTCCATCGTCAGTCATTCTGGCTTGTGCTGACTCTCCGCTGTCAGTCATTCTGACTTGTGCTGACTCTCCACTGTTGGTCACTCTGGGTCATAATGACACTCCACCGTCAGTCATTCTGGCTTGTGCTGACTCGCCGCTGTCAGTCATTCTGGGTCATGATGACGCTCCACTGTCATTCACTCTGGTTGGTACTGACAATCCACTGTCAGTCATTCTGGGTCATAATGACACTCCACTGTCATTCACTCTGGGACGTACTGATACTCAACTGTCAGTCACTCTTGTAGATAATGGTACTCCGCTGTTATAGTCAGTATAGTTCGAATTCATATTTCAAGGTCAGTCATTCTGGTCATGTACCCTCCGCTGTAGAAACAATGATCCTACAGAGTTTTCTAGCAAGGCATATTTTCCACCATTCATAATAATTCGATAAAACTGATGTGTATTATTGTATCCTGCATGCCTAATCGTTTTCAAATTCAGTTTATTGCAGGTTTGGAAACTTAGACTCTGAAACTTTCTTTTTCAGTATTGCAGATTTACTGATTTGTTGCCTCGTTATACCGATGTTAATCTCAGCGCGCGCTAAACGGACTTGGTTGTTGGGTGACGCAATGTGTATAATACAAGGTTTCATCAACTTCCTTTGTCTCTATGCCTCCCTGTTCTTCCTAGCCGCCATCGCTACAAACAGGTAAATAATCATTTGTTTGTTAGTTTGTTGTTTAACGCTGCAGTGAGCAATATTGCAGCTATATGACTGCAGTCTGTAAATAATCGAGTCACACAACCAGACAATCTATTGATTGATATCATGAGCTCCGATCCACGCAATTGGGATGCTATGATATGTATCTCAACCAAGTCCGCGAAAATGACCACACGCTCCATTTTAGGACAAATGTAGTCGCCTTTTACGACAAACATGGGTTGCTGAAGACCTATTCTAAACCGGATCTTCACGGGTAGAGGTTAATATATTCACAAATGCCACATGTGTATATCCTGTGGCAGGAAACGGTCACCTTTTCGCGAACACCTGGTATCATGCTTATGATATAGTGTGCATCGTACAAAACAGATGCTACTTACAAAGAGATGAAAAATAGTTTATAGAGGCAATCAATTAGTATGTTGGTATTATATAAACTCTTAAATTATTCTGGACTCGCACAGTTACTACTCTTTCACAACAAGCTGAAAAGAATGCCAACAAATTTACAATATACACTATTTATGTGGTAGTTTGTCTTTAGTATGCGCAGCAACAATATTTGACAGCATGGTTTTGCCAGTGTTAGCATATGGTGCCGAGATTTGGGGATATCAAAACTAAGATGCAATATTCAAATTCAGGTAGTGACAGTGCTGTACACGGATAATGTGGAAGACAAAAACTTGACACATATCATGCCATTAGAGTTATAAAATATTGAATAAAACTCATCTCTATGAATCCTAAGCAAACATAGTTGATTCTCTAGAGCTTGGATGAATTGGGTAGATCTCATTGGGTAACATTTGTCAGAGCTTCTTTTTATTTGAACATAGTTTTGGTTATGCATGGATTATTCAATATTTCTTTATTTAATATTTTTAGACAGGTTAAGCAACGTATTAACGACTAAACTGGCACGATAGTTTAATACAAATCTCGAAACTAACAGCGTATTGTACACTTGAATCTGTATTAAGAATATACAATTATCTTACTTGTGTTGAAAATAATACGTTTCGCATGGCACTTTTAAAATGTCGATGCATCAACCACAATCTCGAAATAGATAAAGGGAGAAGAACTGGGATAGATGTTGAGAAGAGAATAAGTATTTATTGTGAACGTTATGGTTTTGACTACATCGAAAATGAATACCACTTCTTCTCGTGTGCACTGCCTCCTCAGAACGTAGACGCAGTTATTTACCTCCGATTTATCACAACAATCCCTATCCAGAGAAGTTCGTTTCTTGAATATCTGGTACAAATTCTCAATGTTTTTCAGAACTATCAAAATATATCTATTTTCTTTTAAACTTAGAACATCAATAATTTTTTAGATACTAGTATACATGAACTTTACCTTGCTCAAATTATACTCATATTGTGCATTTCATAGTTTTGTACTATGGGCCTGAGGTTTTTATACCCTGGATGATACGACCATGCAAATGCTACAATGTTCCTAGCACGGTCCTTCTCTCTTATGTGAAAATATGCTTGGACTAAAAAATGTTGAAATATGATTTGTCATTAACAGATAGTATTATTTTCAGACTTGAACATTCTATCAATGATCAACATTCTTTATTTTCTTGCCAAAACGTGATTTCATTGTCCAATTATGAAGTGAGGATAAAAGCCATATTTGGTCCACCAGAAATAATGAATTGTTAAGTTGCGGAAATCTTTGAAAGAAAATTAACAGACATGTTCAATTGGCTGACATGAAGCATTTTGTCTTCCTTAGACCTGCAAATCTTTGGATTTTTGAATCAACAGTAAAGCAAACAAATTAAAATCTTACATGACATTTTTTTTAAAATACAGACGTCTGCAAAGTAAATTCTCTCTAAACCTGGTTATATATCTATCGGGGTCACAGAAAACTAATAACATGTTGTTTTCATTGCCACTTGTGAGACTCGATATCAAAATTAGGCCTCAATATTTGGTTGATATCTGTTTTTGTTTCAGATTTGCTAAAACTTGGTCGATGAAGTACACTCAACTGATATACACGAGGAGAAATACCGGGATAATGTTCCTGACCCTGTGGCTCATGTCCGTCACCGCTGCGGCACTTCCTGTGTTAGGTTGGGGCCGCTACGCCTTTGACAACATCCGGGATAACTGCATCTTTGACCGCAGGGCGGCGCCATCCTATTCTTTCTTTTTGGCGTCGGTTGGGATACTGCTGCCTTTAACAATATGTGCCGTGTCTTACATTCTGGTAAGCTTTATTGTACCCTGAATGTATTGTTTGTTTACTACAGGGGGCCTTGGGTCGTGCAGACATGTTTGCGATGTTTCGAGACCTGACATCGGTACAATGTGTGAAGCCCATTACCGGTTAACTGCTATAATGAGACATGAAAGCGGTGTAAAGAACACTCCGACCCTTCCTTACCCAGAGAGCGACCGCCTCCGTGGCTTAGTGGTAGAGCGTCTGCCCTGAGAGCGGAAGGACGGGGGTTCGATCCCTGGCCGCGTCATACCAAAATACGTTAAACTTCATTCACCTCACCTTACCCAGATACGATAATTTGAATTTGAATTTCTTGCTAACAGAGGCATACATTATGTTTGAAAAGATGACCAACAGTACTATTGTGGAACGTGCTTGGGACACATTTTCACTAACCACTGCAACATATATACTTCTAAACGTTTGATTCTGATGATCAGATATGTCAAATATACACTTGACATATTATGATAATCATTTTTGTATGTCATGGAAAGATACAAATATACCTTTCAAAAGTGGATGAGTATATATTGCATTTATACAACATTATAGTTCAGGATGTTGTAATATTTGCCCTGTGGTTGCCAATATTTTTTATTATGGTCAAACCTTTTTTTTACATTTACAGAAGAAAGGTATTTCCATTTACATAATTAATGAACAGGGATTGTGGTGTCGTTTACAAAGTCACAGTTGACTATCCATCTCTTTCTGGGACGCCATGGTTGAGGCAAATGCGTTTCTGGATCCTGAAAAAAATGCCCTTCAATGTGATATTGCTAAAATTTGATTAAAACGGCGTGAAACCATGCTCACAAACACACGATGCACTTCAGGTGAATATTATAACACACATTCTGATTTTTTCACAGGTTCTGATCACTTTCTTCAAGAGTAGGTCACGTGTCGGAGATCGTGGTACCATCAACGGTTCGGGTGCAACTAGTCGTAGTGAGATGAGGCTAACGAGGAACTTATTCCTGGTGTGGCTAGTCTTCTTTGTCTGCTGGACCCCCATGATCTCCTTGCTCTTCATCGATCCCCAGGTGATCTTACATTCCTCGATACACAGAAGGACTTGGCTGGCCCAGTAGTCACAATGTAGTCTGCGGTTTTGCTCCTACGGGCCAGGAGCTTATGATCGTGGGTTCGAATCCCAAGTTTTGCCAAAATAATTGAATATCAAACCGTGCGTATACTAAGGTCAGCTGATATGTGGATCTGCAAATGCTGTATTCTGTTTATTCCATCTTGATGGTGGACTGTGCAGAGAGGTGGCGTCAGTCGTATGCACTGACCATAACGATGTCCGATGCATTTCGTTATTTTGACTTGTACCATATACCATATGTTCCTGCGTCTGAAGGGGCGGTCGGGTAGCCTAGTGGTTAAAGCGTTCGCTCGTCACGCCGAAGACCCGGGTTCGATTCCCGACATGGGTACAATGTGTGAAGCCCATTTCTGGTGACCCCCGTCGTGATATTGCTGGAATATTGCTAAAAGCTGCGTAAAACCATACTCACTCACTCACTCCTGCGTCTGAACACTTGTCTGTATATATATTTGTGACGAAACCCATCACAACAAAGTTATATCGCCATTTTAGGTTTGGGATTTTATATCGGGATGACGTATCTTTTCAGCTACACCCCAAACCAGATATTTTTTAAATTATATCTATGAGCCTAAATAGTTCTTTAAAAAACCAACACTTTTATCTGCCAGCCATTTTTCTTCAACTGGCTGAAGCATAATTATATTTTAAAGATTTTTCTGCGACAATTTATTTGTTTCGATAAAATCCCAACCGCAATACCCCCCACTGCCCCGCCTCCGGATAAAGAATTGCCGTCCCTCAGTTTTTCTATTATAGTTTTCATCCATTTGTCACATAAGACTATATCCTGTGATTGATTTATTGTATTTCAGGGTCTCTCGGGACGGACGGCGTACGTCGTCGCTGTATGGTTCATGCTATGCAACAGCTGCATCAACCCAATAATATACGGCCTCACAAATAAGAAGTTTAGGAGAGGTAGATATTCCATTCTAAGTTTGATGTGGGCTGATAGTTACACTTTGAAACGAATTTGGAGAAAATGGAAAATTTGACGGCCCATGGCATAAACTGAAAATAGCATGTGAGCCAATTTATTTGTAACGTTAAAATAAATTGAATATGCGTGATATACTTATAGTTACACCATTGTTTTGGTGCAAAAATCAATAATTTAGTTTTGAGCAATGGAAAATTCTGTCCCTTGAGCAACATGGCTTAATTTGTTTTTACTCAAACATTTTTGCACACACACACACACACGCAGACACACACACGCACGAACGCACGCACACACAGACACACACACACTAGTTTCAAGGAGTTTTTATTTACGTATGTCATTACAGGGTGTAACCTTTTAATAATTCCCGTTATATATCACAACAATACGCCGCCGAAACGATAACCCATGCAGTAGTGACGAGGATCAGCGTTCTGATTGGTTCAGATGTTAAATCGAGCGGCATAGGGCTCCAATGGGCGCACTCAACAGACAATTTGATTAAAAAGTCAATCTTAAACAGTCAGTGTGTATGTTTGAGAAAAAATGCACATTATCAACAATATTCATATCATATACTTTCGCTGAAATTGAAACGGTCATAAAATATCCCCTATCTGCTGTTAAATGTCCGAATGTTCTTATTGTTCACAAACTGTAATACTACCTCAAATGACGACATGTTTCAGGGTATCAAACCGTGGTTCGGGGATGTGTTAACCGTAGAATTAGAACGAGTCGTATTCAACCCTCTCCGACTGACGTAAGGAGGATTTCGAGGCTGAAACAGAGGCCTGGAGTAGGCGAACGAGGCAGATTCAACCCGAATCTTCTACAAGTCAGGCCATTGTCACCTCGTCGGTACTAGGAAGAGTTGTCTACCCTTGACCGCTGTTTGTAATTTGATGTGATGCTTAACAGGAACTTGCGTTTGCGATCTGAAGACAAGTAAATATGTTTTCTTATTGGACAGGATGATAACGGACTGTTCGCGGTTTCATATCTGACAGACTAAGCGAAACCGTACAAGAATCGTAGATACATGGTATCATCCTATATTTGGCAATAATATACATCCACAAAGTCATGGATAGGTGTTTCTTTCAGAAATGTCACAATGCACAATATTTATTTTACCTGAAAGTGAGATTGACCAATCAGAGAACAGAACTACTAACCCCACATGAGCCCGTATACCGCCAGCAAAAATCCATGATGGTTGTTACTGACCTAATATGCGGCCGTATGCCGTCAGTAACAGCCATTTTGGATTTTCAAACACTCACCTCACATTCGTTGAACGACGCTGTTTTGTGTATTAATATTATTAATTGTTATGTGCAAAGGCATTACTTTTTGAAGAAACCACGTTCACGACTTTATTAATAAAAAAATCTCACAACAGAGGTTAGTGATTTACAAATAGCAACGTGATAGAGCATAATATAGGATAATGTCACGAACAAGAAACGTGACGCCAATGACGTCACCTAGAATTCGATGAGGAAAAATGGGCTGCTATCAAGTTACAGTGGCTCGCAGATTTCTGATAAACTGGGAGCATTTCTGTGATAATTCTATCCAATTGAGCTATTAAACTTGTTTAAACGTTCACATTTGGTGTATTGTAGCTTCCAATGTTACCGTATGTGTTTACATTAAAACGTTGTGTCGGAAACATATGTACTGGTCCTGTTATTTATATCGGTTGTAAGTGTAAGTTTTCATTTTGACATGACATGGGCGATAACGATTCTAGATAGTGTAAACATTCGGGATAATAAATTCATTATAATGTCTTTTGTTGCCGTATACGGTGTCATACTACGTAAGCACGCCTCGCCCAATATTTTTCTGCTAACCTAATATGACACCGTATACGGCAACTTAATAGAGTGAGTGAGTGATTATGTTTTTACGCCGCTTTTAGCAATATTCCAGCAATATCACGGCGGGGGACACCAGAAATAGGCTTCACACATTGTACCCATGTCGGGAATCGAACCCGGGTCTTCGGCGTGACGAGCGAACGCTTTAACCTCTAGGCTACCCGACCGCCCCCAACTAAATAGAGGATATTTCATGTGTCGAGAAAAATATCATGTTCCTCTCAAAGGAGATATAGGCAAGAGTGGCATAGGCAAGAGTGGCATAGGCACGAGTGAAAATGTCTCTTTTTTCCCCGTCACGAGAAGAGAGAAACATGATATCTCATGAGACAGATGGAATTTTCGATTTATTATATACATTGTGTGTAGTCGACAACAGGAAAATTAAATTATTTAACTACTTAATGTAAAACCTGGAAACCTGGAAACCTGGAAACCTGGAAATTCTTTCTACCTAACACACAGGGACGGTTCACAACCCCTCGTATTTGCGACTTAAAAAGTAGTTTTGTGTTTGCCAGAATTTAAAACAAAACAAAAATATTTAGGGTCACGAAAATTCTTTATCATACATATGATATATATATATATATATATTTGATTATATACAAAATCTCCTTTAACAAAAAATATTCTTGAAAACTGCAAGACCGCTGTTGAAAGCGAAAGAATACACGCTGGTCAAGTCAAAAATGGCGCTTTGCGAAACGAAGTCTCAATTGAGGAGTTAAATAACAAATTTACAGTTTATAACGAACATTTTCGAGGGAAAACAAACGACAAGAAGCGATATTGACTCCATAAATGACCAACTGTTATTATTTTGCCTTGTCAATATGGAACAAACGTAAAAAGGACGTCAACAGTTTGTGTACGGGCAAGACACTTACGATAAAGGGAGATAATTTGAGGGAGGTAACTCTTGTATAATAATAGTTCCGTCAAAGTGTTTTGTTCACAGCAATGAAAACATCTCTTTTCTCAACTTCAGAAAACTAAGTCTTTCACAATGAAATATATAATATAGACAACATAACTAATAATATCACGGCTCGCGCACCAGTGTATTGTTTCCGTCAAGCGCACGGCATTGTTGACGTCATTCGAATCTTATTGTAACGTGAGTCAGTGAGTCAGTGCTAATGACTGAGTGGGTCTTTGTGCATCGGTGAGTCGGTACGTGTGTCTATTTCAGGTGTGGACTAGTATTCTATTGGACATCTGTGTCATCAACCGTTGTTCTAAACAAAACGCCAAATTTCATAACAATCCGTTTACACCATGCCTGCGAGTCAGCGAAATCTATCTTACTCAGCAGTCATCAGTATTGCAGCCGTCCACAGCAATAATTGAACAGCAATCAACCCATACTGATACGGAATCGTACTAACGACACCTTGTAAATAAAACTCTTTCATTTTTCATAAGATATATCTGCCATATGCAGAGTGAATTGTACGATTCCGATCATGAGCATGTGTTTATGATTCACTATCAAATAGTGTGAGGTGTGAGGTGAAATGGGGTTGAATGTCGCGTCCAAGATTATTGCACTTATATAGCGACGTGCATGTACGTGTGTGTGTTTGTGTGGCTGCTTGTACTAGTCCGGACTGATGCCGATTTATAGTGCTAGCTCACTGAGATACCATGCCACAGTTTAACATGAATATCCCACTCAGACACAGTATACTGACTCCGAGCCGACCAGTCCTTGTTTTAGCCCCTTAAAGCCGAGCGCCAGTCAGGGTAACAACAAGTACCATCTTGTAACGTCTTTTGGTATGACGCGGCCGGGGATCGAACCCCGGACCTTCCGCTCTCCGGGCGGACGCTCTACCACTAGACCACGGAGGCGGTCCTATCAAAAAAATAGTGATGATACCAGGTGTTCACACACCTCATGTTGATAACACTGCAGTGTAGGCGAAAGTGGGCGTCCCCTAAAACCCTATCCCAGTGTTTGCCACCTCACAACATGCTCAGCCTGTTTCGGACACTGTAACCGCGACTAGACTACTCTATACGAAACATATACATCTTAATCTTTCAAACCCTGAACTCGACCATAAAAAGTAAACGCGAGAGAATAATCAGACTCGATTATCCACCGAAACAGATACCATTGGGCATAAAAGGCAAAATATTGAGGAAGATTATATGAATGGATCACTGAAAATCAGTCCTACGGGTATCACCCTCCACTCACACGGGGTCACGGCTGGCCCAGTCGTCTGAGGCGCCGCGGTTCGCTGTGGAGAGTTACATGTACATGTACGTCCCTTGGACACGCCCGCAACCTATGATTGTGGCTTCGAATCCCGGTTCGCCCCTATTATGTTTCTGGGTTTGTCAACACCATACCCGTGCTCGTGGGTTTCACCGAAGTGGTAAACGTCTGAGACCTGCATCATTTCGGGCTTTCCTCCCACATTAAGCTGACACGCCGTGATATAACCGGAATACTGTTAAAGGCGGCGTTAAACCCAACTGACTTACTCACTCACTCACTCACTCACTCCACTCACACAAATTTCACAAAAGTAAGTGTGTGTTGCCTGACACCGCACGACACACAGGAGCTTTCAGCAACCATCAACCGTTACAGGGACAGTCATGCGTGCTGAGAATAGGGGAATAACTGTGAACGCGTTGTGCTGAGTTCACCTCAATCAAGGGCCAGTATCCTGGTCAGCATTGAGGGATACACTAGTTTCATCGTTCACGTTACTCTCACAATCACGGAACACGGGATGGAGGCAGTCGCAGCCCTTAAATAAATGTTCTTAAATGTGTACATATTAACCATAACAAATGCTTTCCCCCAAAATAGGGTTTTATCTATTTCTGTCATAGGTATTATGTAGGTAACGGAATAATCCGATAGGACCCGATTGTGACAGAAAAACATCATGTAAACTTTCGTGTCACTCCGGACCGCCTCCGTGGTCTAGTGAAAGAGCGTCTGCCCGGAGAGCGGAAGGTCGTAGGTTCGATTCCCTGTCGCGTCATACCAAAAGACGATAAAAGATGGTACCCTGCCTGGCGCTCGACATTAAGGAGCTGAAACAAGGCCAGGTCGGCCCGGAGTCAGTGTACTGTGTCTGAGTGAGGTATCCATGTTAAACTGCGGTATGATATCTCAGCGGGCTAGTACTATACAAGTCCGGACTAGTACCAGTAGACACACACACATACACACGTCGCTATACAAGTGCAATAATCTTGGCTACGACGTTAAACTCACCTCGTGTCACTCCGGTGAAAGTCCCAGTACCGGGAAAATAATTAATGAGATATTAAATTAAATATATGTAGGAAGATAAATTAGACTCTGATAAGACTATAAACCTAAATCCTACTGTAGAAAATGCCATTTCATGCGTACTAGAAATATAACATCAGAATTGTTTTTGTCAAAACATTATTAAATTTGGTCACAGATATCACAACACTCAAAGGGGTTATGCTCAGCTTTAAATACAAAATTGAAACCATATGAGCCACATAACGACCATAAATTTCCACACCGATAAATATTTGAGACGACGTAAAAAATGCAGGTTTGTCATGACTACGAACTGTTTACACTGTATCCATATCCTGTTTTCTAACCTCAGGTACAGATATCCCACAGCATGCCACATGAAAAAAAGTTAAATCTAATTCAACTCTCACTAGACCTGTTGAATTGTACCTTGCAACATAAATTGATAAATTGTATGTACATGTATGTAAATAACGTTTGGGAATATTACTACCATGCTGGTTCAACGAATCTTGTTCTTCTGGTTTAGCTGGGCGTAGGAGAATAGCAACGTCTCCAGGCAAGAGACACAAACACGGGAAACACATCGAGTCTGAAGGCAAACATTCCATGGACAACTCTCTAGCAAGAGATGATGGGGAAAAGTTGTAGATACCTATATGAATAGATACGCAGGTATGTCTGTAGCAGTTGGACGAATGTAGCCGAAAGGAGAGGACATAATGTTACGATTCTATATTTTATGCGTTTGTATTGGAGTCGGACTTGGTAAGTAATTAAATCGGTCGAATATTTAAAAAAAATAATCATTATTATATTTCTTTTTCACACCAAAGAAATTTGAGATCATTAAATGGCATTTTTTTTATATTATTCAGCAATATATACGTAGAGATATTTCAAAGCCAATGTGTAGGAATTATTTATTTTGTGGTGTGTGGTCAATTTGATTTTTAAGTTATCTTGTGACATGAAAATATAACATATTATGTTGTTTGTTGTTTCAATGACAAAGACCGGGAATAATAATAATAATAATAATAATAATAATAATAATAATAATAATAATAACTTAACAATATTATCTAATCTTTAAGATTAGTCTTAGAAAATAATACCTTCTGTTTCAACGGAAAATTCTATCATCAAAGAAAGGGAAGGGCCATGGGCACGAAAGTCGCTCCAACATACGCTACACTTGTGATTGGTTATATCGAGGATATTCTTTACAGGAAGGTACAAGATTCCATGTCAGAATCGAATCCATTGCCAAACATGTGCGCCAAACTTGAAAACGATTCTTAGACGATTGTTTTTTAGTTTGGCTCTCAACTCGTGAACATTTAGACATTTTTCTGGATATTATGAATACGCTCCATCCTTCCATCAGTTTTACTATGGAGTTTAGCGAGAGCGAAATTCCATTTCTGGACGTCCTTGTAGTTAAGGAAGATACTAAATTGAAAACTGATATCTACTACAAACCAACGGACACCCATCAATACTTACAATTCGGTTCATGTCACCCCAGGCATACAAGAACATTCCTTATTCACTTGCGCGGAGAGTATGTACCATCGTGTCGGAAACGGATAAAAGAGACTTAAGATTGAAAGAATTGATGGGGTATCTCAGGAAGCTAGGATATCCGCTCGTATTTTTCCGTTTTATAAGTTGTATACCAGTAACAAGCAGCAGAGACTGGAAAAAGAACAAATGTTTATCCAATTGATGAAACCCAAATGTATTAATAGATTTGTCATTTCAATCGTAAATGTTACACAGTTACTTTACAAATACTGGATATTTTAATTCAAATGTCTCCCTACAATTGTTAAATTACTTGGTGTCGTCGCTGGAGTGTGTAAATACATTATGACGTCACAGTTGTAATTTATGACGTCATCATAAGTATGACGTCATATTATATGTCATTGTCAGTTACACTGAAAAGCTGTCATGAGATAGCGAAAGTACTATGTCTGAAACTGATATAAATAAGATGTTGGAATAACATGGACTTTATTATTTTATTATATATTACATGTACACCGAGTGAACATCTACCTCATTTTTGTATATATATATATATATATATATATATATATATATATATATATATATATACACACACACACATACAATGTACGATCATTATATATATCTCTCTGACGTTTTATCTGTATAATTCTGATATAAAATTAAATACAAATTTAATACAAAATGTCTTCAAATTACATCAGTATATGCTGTGTAGATACATACAAAAACTGCATTCACACTATATGTTTCACTGCATAAAGCATAAATGGTTTCATTGGTTGCTTTGTTGCAACTACACAATCACAATAATAAACATTCTAACCTCTAACACTTCCCCACCTCAATAACGAATTTTACACATTCACACAACATGCTAATTTATTCAACGCATACATGCATGACTCCACGATGTGTTAAAATGTTTTCCTGTGCACATCACAATCACAACCGGACATGCATGTGCATGGAATATACGTATATATCAAGAGTAAATAGATACATTTAGGAGATAAACATACTGTATTTTCAATGCATGTTGAGCTAGGTTACCTGTAGGTTTAACCGCGCTAAACTGACTTTGGAACCGAACGCGCTGCTTGAGTAATTGATACAGTTTACAAGTCATTTCATATGACAAACATGGGCGTACACATCTACTCGTCTACTCCTTTTGTTTGTCGATGTTGCTATTTTCGTTGTAAGTGATCTGGATAAGAATGTTGTCTCACCATGTCTCGTTATCAAACGGTAGCCCTGGACGTGAAGGGAGAGAACTCGTTTGGTCATACTGCACACGCCTACACCCCACTTGCCAACAACACTTGTATATGTTACAGTCAACAGGGGACAACATGTTACAATGGGAATTGTAATCAGTCAGTTTGTAAAATGACTGAAATTTTCACTTGGAAATTTACAAAACGCCAAAAATTTTCAGTCATTTTACAATTATTTTTGTATTTATTATATCATGATAATGAATTCCAAACATTTTACTACTTCATTTCATCATCCAGTGATTTAAAATAATGGAATTGAAAGAAAACGAAAGACAATGGGTATTTTGCACATTTCTGGGCTTCCCATCCAAGCATAATTAGTATATTTTGTTGTCAATATGGCGGAAAATAATTGTAAAATGTTTACAATATTTTGCCGATTTGTAAATCGCTTAAGTGAAAATTTCAGTCATTTTGCAAATTGACTGTAACACATAAACAACAATTAAAATCAAAATACGATTTTGTTATAACGTAATAAATATTTATCTTTTGAAATATAAGACTACAACCACTACAACAACAACAACAACAACAACATCAGCAGCACCACTACCAGTATTACTACAACAATACACTATCACATGACTTTTATAACGTAATAAATGTTTATTCTAACAAGTATTTACAATTATCCAGTTGTCGTTATTACTATTAGTAGCAGTAATACAAACTGCTACTGAGGCTATATGTTGTGCTTCTTGCAGTATGAAAGTAACTTATGATTTTTGTATGTCTAAAACGCAGAGGTGGTTTGGTAAAGAGAGCGAATGTTGTGAGAGAATCAGACTTCCTGATATGTTCCGTCGATAAAAGAGTAGGGATTCTCTTGATAATTAATAACAATCAAGACCGTAATAGGTTTACTTCTGTGACAGTATTTCGATGACATATACAACAGTTTGTTGAATAATATTAACACAAGTAAAGTAATTTCACCGATTTTCCAGGATGTGGAATCTGTATCTGTTGAACAAAGGCATCGATATGTAAGTCCACAGATGTTGATATTTTCAAGATAAGTGGACAAAAGGCTTTATTATACCACTCCAAAAAAGGGGATGTACATTCTCCAAATTATTACAGGGGAATTACTACATGTATGTTACGTGTATTTAGAAAATATATGTTTCAATTATTAATTCTCGATTAACGTTTTGGGCTGATGCATGTGAAAAAAATGTTGAACCACCAGCAAGTTTTTGCAGTGGATACATCCCCACTGATAATGTCTTTACACAACAGTCTGTTATTCAGCGTTATTCGATTCAGTTGATAGAACAAAATTGTGGAATGTACTACAGAGTCGGGGTGTTTCATCCAAAATGTATCCAGACTATTTATTCTAAAGTCCCCTCATGTTTAAAATAAAACGATCTTTCTTCAGACTTGTTTTAAAATATGTTCGCCAAGGTTGTGTACTCAGCCCCTTCTTATTTTCGAGGTTTATTAACGAGTTGGCAGAGGAAATCGAATCTCGTAGTTACGGTATCCAGTTACATCCATACATAGTACATTTGTTCCTTTTACTTTTCGCTGATGATGTTATTCTTATTTCTGACACAGTTGCTGGATCACAGAGACAAATTAGGGTCCAAGAACAATATTGCTGTAACTGTCAACTAACTATTAACTGGATAAAACAAAAGCTCTAGTTTTTAAGAAAGGGGGTATTCTGGCGAAAAGTGTAAAGTGGTACTACCAAGAGAAGCAATTGGAGTGTGTTCCATGTCAAAAATATTTAGGGGTTACTCTTAGTAAAACTTTGTCTTTGGTTCCACATATAGAAAATGATAGTACACAGCCTAAGAAGATAGGCTAAGGGGGGGGGGGGGGGGGGGGGGGGGGGGAAGAGGAGAGAGGGGGGGGGGAGGGGGTTAGACAATTCTAAATTCCAAATTATGTTGTCCAGGGCGAATGTGGTTGCTTACCCCTTTACATATTAGCAGCTAAACGTGTAATTTTATACTGGTTTAAGTTATTAGCAATGTCAAACTCCAGATGTCCCAGAAAAGAGTTTCAATACAATAATTTAAAGAGCAAGTCAAGGTAAGGTTAACTGGGCTTTCAAACTTAAATGTTTGTAGAAAGAACTACATGTAATATAGTTTTGCTTGGTGAAAAAATGATCTCAATAGGATATTACTCCGGCATACATTTCAGTTCTCAGTTCGAAATCGTTTGTATTATGGAATATAGATGCTTGTGCGATTCATCCAATCAATTTTTGATTGTTTCAAATAATTATCATACGTCAGTGAGAAAGAATATGATCACTGTCGTGTATAATTGTTCTCTTTGCAAAGAGATTATCTAGTCATTGAACGAAAACAAATACGCACATTATGCAAGATAAGAGTTTCATCGACTCAGATACACAATCTAATATTACTAAAAGTGAGTGAGTGAGGCTTTACCTCGCATTTAGCAATATTCCAGCAATATCACAGCGGGGGACACCAGAAATTGGCTTCAAACATTGTACCCATGTGGGGAATCGAACCCAGGTCTTCGGCGTGACGCGCGAACACTTTAACCACTAGGCTACCCCACTGCCCCCATATTACTTAGAACTTAATAACAAAAGGCACTACTTTCGCCTACTCCGCTAACATAGCATCGTCATATGTCTTTGATATAAATTGCCTATGGTGACCTGTACCATGTGTTCCCGAGTTTTTCTGGAGAAAAAATGACTTGCTTTTGCATGTGTTTGTGACACTTAGTCGGTGGGAAATAATACGCTCACCTTTTCGCGAACACCTGGTATCACAACTATTTGACCATATCATAACCAAATGCTTGTGATAAAGTAGGAATCATAGAATCGACTCTGATTCTAGCACAGAGTTATTATAAAAATGGAAATGGTTTTGTCGCGTTTCTTTATCAAATTTGTAAACATTTGCTTGAGTTCCTGAAGTGTTCAAATTTGTGCTTCCAGGTGACTGTAAACGAGCTTTTCCGCTGACATACAAACACACATGAACAACAGTCTGTTGCTCAGTGCTGTGTGACAAACAACAGCAATAACATGCCATCTTCTGCTGAGCCTCCTGTTAGAAGCTTAGAGTGTTAACAAAGCAATATGTCAATGCAATTTTTAAATGTAAAATCTGAAGTGGTTGTTTTCAATACGCTGGATATGTATTCATGGCCATTAACACAAAATTCTACTCGAAGACCACAATAATATTAAAAAGAAACATTAAAGTTTAAAATGTTTGAATTGTGTTTCTGTAGCCTCTCGCATGTATGAATTAGGGAATTTTCTCCCTTACACGTTGGTCTGGTAGTAGGCAACAGTAGTATGAATTAGGGAATTTTCTCCCTTACACGTTGGTATGGTAGTAGGCAACAGTAGTATGAATTAGGGAATTTTCTCCCTTACACGTTGGTATGGTAGTAGGCAACAGTAGTATGAATTAGGGAATTTTCTCCCTTACACGTTGGTATGGTAGTAGGCAACAGTAGTATGAATTAGGGAATTTTCTCCCTTACACGTTGGTGTGGTAGTAGGCAACAGTAGTATGGATTTATGTCGAACTTAGGCTATGCGGCCAACTTCTCGACAAGGAGTTCCTTTTTCGGTTGTTATAACTTGAAATAGTTTGTGGAAAAGGGAACATTTTCCATAAAATAGTGAAAATATATATTACAACACCAGAGGATAACATTTGCATCCATAATACATATATCTTGGCTTTTTAAATTGGCTTACATGTATGTGACATTTACTGACATCAGTGTGTTCTCAAGATAAGATATTCATCATGCGACTCTTGCTCAAGATATGGTATTTGTAATACGACTTTTGCTCAAACGTTGTTTGAATATGATCACAACATTTTAGGCCTCATTCAATATTTCATTTTTTATCGCCAATAAGTGGACGATGCATTTCCAAGTTTGAGGCATCAGTGATAAAAATGCTTCCGATGCAATTCCTTATTTTGACCTGTACCATATGTTCTAGTGTTTTTTTCTCAGGTGAACAATTGACTTGCCTTTGCGTGTGTTTTTGACGGGTGCTTCCGGTAGGGCAGGATATCATTACTATTTGATAATGATTCATAAACACATGCCCATGATACAGTCGGAATCGTACAATGGACTGTGTTTTAGCAGAGATTTCTTGTGGCGTTGGAAAGAGTTTTGTCCCTTTTAGTTATATGATGATGGGTTAAAACACAGTACGATGATACAACGTGTAGGTGTGATCGTAGACATCGGAAGTATGGATAGTGAGTCAGTATACCATTCATTTCATATGACAAAACTGGACGGACACATCTACTCGCCTACTCCTTTTGTTTGCCGATATAGTTGGAAATATGAATTGTCAATGGAAGAAAATAACCAGTCTAAATTATCCACCGCAACAGATTTCATTTGGCATAAAGTGCAAAATATATGAGGATGGACAACTGAAAATCAGTGATGACACCAGGTATTCGCGAAAAGGGAAAGTATGTCTACCAGTAGCAACCGCTATTCACACAGATCTGGATAAGAACTGTGTCTTGCTATGTCCCGTTATCAAAGGACCCGTGAATAGGTCTTCAGCAACCCATGCTTGCCGTAAAGGCGACTATGCTTGTCGTAAGAGGCGACTAACGGTTGATGCATGTCATCGATCCCAATTGCGTGGATCGATGCTTATGATATCAATCACTGCATTGTCTGATCCAGTATACTTGTGTTGTATATTTCAGGCTTCCAGTGCTATACCTGTTCCTACGATCATAATACCCCTGGGCCAATTGACTGTTTGACCAGCCCGGAAGACCTTCCCGACAATCTGCACATAAAATGCGGAAACTTTTGCGTAACGCAAGAGGTCTTCAGTATACGTATGTATATTTATTCTGTGTAGGAAATGAGTGAAGGTTATTGCATGTTGTTATATAAGGTGTAACACTTAACACACCTTTATATATGAAGTTTTGAAGAAGGAAATCAACATTAGTCATTGGTTTAGATCAGGTTACAATTACGTCAATTGACTTAGTGTTTCAAATATTATTGATAAGACATGTACCCGTGAAGATCCGTTTGGAATCAACAACCAATGCTTTTAGTAAGAGGCGACTAACGGGATCGGGTGGTCAAGCTCACTGACTTGGTTCAAGCATGTCATGGTATCCCAATTGCAGAGATCAATGCTCATAATGTCAATCACTGGAATGTCTGGCCCAGGGTCGATTGTGTACAGCCCGCCGTCATATAGCTGGAATATTGCTGAATGTGGCATTAAACAACAACGTAAGATATGCTTTGATGCTCTATACTGTAGAAAAAGAAATGTGGTGAGCCTATCTTTTGCGACATTGTAAATTTGTGAAACCCATTTCTGGTGTCCCCCGCCGTGATATTGCTATGCTAGTGTTAAACGCGGCGTTAAACCTCACTTCAAAATGAACTACACGCAATTATATTCACTCACTGTATGAATAAACCATTGCATGTTAACCCTTCAGTCAGAATTGTCTCTTCCTTCCTTCTTCTACCAAATCCATCAACTCCGCCTTGAGAGTGGGTCGTTGTTTGTATCCAGGAGATTTTTTTATGTTTATACAGGTGTGTTTGCCGATCACATTCAGTGATGTTAGTTCAGTCTTTTGTTGCCCCGTGAAGATCCGGGTAAGAACTGATCTTCAGCAACCCATGCTTGTCGTAAGAGGCGACTAACGGGATCGGGTGCTCAGGCTCGCTGACTTGGTTGATGCATGTCATCGTATCCCACTTGTGTAGATCGATGCTGATGATGTCAAATACTGGATTGTCTGGCCGAGAGTCGAGTATTTACAGACCGCCGTCATACATCTAGAACATTGATGAGTGCAGCGTTAAACACATCCAACAAAACAAAGAAACAAATATCTCTTGTTGGGACGTCGTCAACATTCATCTGTAACGTCATTACCAATGAATGACGTCAACGTGAATTAATTGTAACAACGCTATGATATTTGGTCATATAGCCAGAGCTGCTCCCTAAAACTGCCGCATCCACTGACCATGTACATGTATGTAATTACTAATGTCCTCGACAAAATCAACCCATTGAAAACCATTTCAATGAACGATGGAGCGAGTAAGTTTATACGTCAGATTTTGTCCAAAACTACGACAAGGAAAGATCTATCACAAATATACCTTATGCGTTTATCCATGTGGGGAATCGAAGTTAAACACAAGGCTACTCTACCGCCCATTAAATGTGTGGTTTAATTATCTTGATATCTCCAGTGGAGCTTATCTTGAACTGTTTTGACTTTAAATCATGGCGACAACTTTATTAGTACTCAACGTTTTTCAATATTGGTTTCAGAGGACAAGATCATTTTATCATTTTTTCGAACGTGCAGCGTTGATTGGGGCAATGTCTGTACGGAGGATGCGTGGTTCGTGACGTGCAAAACAACGTGCATTGGCGACTTCTGCAATGAGGGACTAACAATGGACCCTGACACACACGAGAGGCCTGATGTCAAGGACAACTACGGAAACTGGTACGAAAACAGTGCGACGCAGCTTCACAACGTCATGGAGACGATGTTAGCAATACTTTTAATCATTGCATGTGTGACATAATATCAGAATACAACCAAAGGGTCGGTGGACGGTGAACTAGATTTTGTATTAATAATGTACATAAGGGACAAGCCATTTCATATTCAGGCGAGAGGCTATGATAATTTGCTTCAGTTAGCGCTTCAAGGCATACCATTCTATTCTCCGACACGAAGATCCAAAATATCTTTTTCAGCATTTTTTTTCAAATAGATTTCTTTTAAAAAAACAAAACAACCAGACCTCCAATTGAATATGAAATGGTCGCCCCCTAAATAGTAGAGAAAACAAGGTTGCACAAGAAACACACAAAAGAAACAAACTCTGATGAATGTTGTTAAGTACTATAGAAAATAAAATATTTTGATTTCGGTTTACCAAGTTTCTCCAATTTGATTTTCTTGAAATCCCATTATTACGCTCTGTCTGATAAGTGTAAGTAACCTATACACAACATGATTAATAAAGCATAGTAGTGTATGATGACCAGTGGGAAATCGTTTGAACACCTGGTGAAATCACTGATTTTTAGTGGTCGACTTATATAAATGTCATCGCTACATTGCCCCTTACGTCAAATAGAATCTGTTTCGGCGGATAATCTAGACTCTTGTATTGACATTTTACATTTACATGTAATTCGATGTTTCTGTACCTTTCAGGAAGGTTTTGAGTGAAATAATTAAATTTCCTTTGAGTTCAATGTAATTCCTGCATTCTGATCAGCTGAATTGGCCAGGTGTTATTGCATTCATTTCCTAATGAATGTAAAAGATTAAGCCACTCCCAAATAGGCGGACTTCTTTTATTACTACGGAGTATCGGGGAATCCAAATATTGTATCGTGTATCGTCATGCACACGTGTATTGTCTTGCACAGGACATTTAGCGAAATTCATGCTTATTCATTGTCCAAACTACCCTTTGGCACCGAAGGCCGAGAAGGAATGAAACAGCCAACGTCCAGGCTCGCTCGCCTGAGTTCCACAAATTGCACGTCTTCGGGTTTCATTTATAACCCGCATTTTTCTAACTGTGTCTTCTCGTTCCCTGGGAACTAATGTTCGAAACAGCCGCCTTCTCCCAGACATTTTTCTTCCAGTTCGTCACAGTCTGACTGTTGCTGTTCTTTTCGAATCTTGCCTTGATTGATAGGTCCCTATGAACTTTGTTTTGGCTACTGACTTGGTGGGCGTGTCAAGTTATGTGCATAAATTAAACAATCACAAGATTCATGTCACAACACAGTATGTATTCCTGCACCTGGAATGTTTATCAATCTCGTCATTTTTGTCTGCTTTGATATATGCAACTGTTTTTGGTTAAACTATCATTGATACATGTAGCACATGTTTTTGTTGTCGAATTTAATTATAAGGATTGACTGTGAATTTTTTTCGGTTCATTTAGGGAAGACTCGAAAAACCGATGTGCAAACTTTTGTAAGAATCCGCTATCCTTAATTAAACTAATTCTATGGCAGAATATGTTTGTACTTGATTCTGATCAATCACACTACATCACTCGATGTACCATTTTGTTAGTTTACTTCAGCAGTATACATTTTGTGCGAGAATATTTGTGTTCCGTCGTCTATATAGGTATCTTTAAATTCATTCACTAGGCATAAGGCGATGCAATTCACTTCGCTGAGTTGTCTCCCTTAACCGAGCAACAATACCCAGTAAACGTTTGCCACCACCACAACCTTTGACCACAGATATAGTTACAGTTACGAGTTCTGCTCGGATTGGCAAGGTGAAAACATGGTAATTCTGCCAAGAAGTTTTAAATTTAACTTGAGCTTCAGGTATATCGATGATCTGATATCATTCAAAAACCATCAAATAACCGTCAACTGATTTACCCACCTGAACTAGAAATAATGGAGTCAAGTGCGATCGCCACGCCCGTAATCTATTAAGATGTGAAACATTTTACACTTCACCATGCTGTTTCTGCAAATCTACATGTACAGAAGATAGTGACACCGTGTATCCTCCAGTCAACGTTCGTTTTCCAAACAGTGTAACTCTGCAACCTGTAATCTTCCACATCGACTTTGAGTAAGTCCCCGCCAATGTAGTAACTTCAACATTAGACTAGAGATACACATGTACGTGGCGGTTTCTTCCATTGTGCCCAGGTATTGTGGAGAAAGATTGGCCTGGTCAGCTTGCAAGAAAGATGCCGGCAAGCGCAGAATGGTTAGATGCGACCGCATCCGTGGTCTAGTGGTAGAGCGTCCGCCCGGAGAGCGGAAGGTTCGAGGTTCGATCCCCGGCCGCGTCATACTAAAAGATGGAACTTGTTGTTACCCTGTCTGGCGATCGGAATTAAGGGACTAAAACAAGGACTGGTCGGCTCGGAGTCAGTATCTAATACTCAGTCAGTATACTGTGTCTGAGTGGGGTATTCATGTTAAACCGCGGCATGGTATCTCTGTGTGCTAGCACTAGTACAAGCAGCCACACACACACGTACATGCACGTCGCTATATAAGTGCAATAACCTTGGACGCGACGTTAAACTCCATTTCACCTCACTGGTTAGATGCCATCTCAGTCCAGAGGGAGAGAAAGCGGGCCAATTTATGGACTATTTGACAGAAACTTGGGTTGATGATGAAGGTGTATGGGACAAGCTTTGGGAACCATTTCGGCAATCTTGAAGGATAGCACAACAAAACAACCCCTTCAATAACGTGCTAACCAAACAAAAATGAGTTTGTCAAAAACGAACCGTCTCACACAGAGCGTAAGTAACAAAAGAACCAGGACAGTGTTGCCAACCGCAACGTAAGGTAAATAGAAATGGAAATAGAACATTTAGTCGGGTTCAACGAACAACGTTCAGCTGTGGAACCTTCCACTTAGTTCTCACAAGATGGACCGCCTCCGTGATCTTGAGGATAAAGAACAGAAGGTAGGGATTCGATCCCCACCCGCGTCTTACCTAAAGACAAAATGTAGTACATGTACTTGTTATTACTCTGAATGGCGCTCGGCATTAAATGCAGAATACAAGGACTAGCGGCTCGGGGTGCGATATCCATGTATTAAACTGCTACATGGTATTTCAATGTGCTAGTACATGGTATTTCAATGTGCTAGCACAATAAAACCGGAATAAGTCAGGGCTAGTACAAGCAGCCACACACAGGTACATACACGTGGCTATACAAGTGCAATAATATTGAACGCCACGTTAAACACACTTTCACCTCACCTCGCTACAAGGTGCACATAGTCGTTTAAAGTAACACGCACTTTCCTGAGAACAACTGACAGAGTCTAATGGTGTTCCAATGGCTAACCTTAGCACATTAGATCAAGTCGGCCTTAGTCCGGGCTAGTACAAGCAGCTATTCACGTACATCTACGTCGCTATGTAAGTGCAATATTCTTAACGTGACATTAAACCACATGTCATGATTACCTCACTTAACACTCATAATCGGGGTACCTACGGGCCATAGACTTTAGGGGGTCGGACCCACTGCTCGTAGGTTCGTTTGTCAACGCTATACATGACAGAGGGGTCGTGGGCTTCACCAGCCTGTTGGCGGCTGACGCCTCCTTCATATGGAGACGTTGATTCATATTTATATATATATTTGCACGTGTCTGTAGAGATACTCGTGGAGTAAAGTTTCATGACCAAAGGAGGTCGACCAAATTATATTTGCTCATTAGTAAAGTTGTTTGCAAAGCAAATAGTGATTGGTGAACATAATGACTGTTCATTTGTGTGATCAACAAATATATCCGGGTCTATCTCCCAAAATAGAACATTATACTATATTAGATATCTAGACATCACGTGACGTCACTGTCTGAAAGTCATTCATGAACACACGTTCATGATATAGGCGGAATCATACACTTGACTCTTATAAGATTTCTTATGAATATGGAAAGGATTTTGTTGCTTTTATTTATCCTGGGCTTGTCGAGGAACACAAGTAACATGAAAAATCCTTTTGCAGCATTGAAAAAGTAGCCTGTTCGTGATGAGTGCCTCGGAAACATTTTCTCGTTCTTCTCGTTCTGATCTTTGTAATAATGATATATATCCTCTATGTAAATGTCAGATCACACCCATAACCTTTATCACACATGAACATAAAAGTAAATCTACTTTTGCTGACGTGAGTATTTTTACTCCATGAGGTCAGCATGAGCATTAGGTAATACAAACATTGATTATTCTGTATGCAGCCGAGACTGTTATCACATCATTAATCTTAATATGCGCTATATGTTTGACGAAGGTTATAATTGATTTACAAATGATAATGACACAGTAACCCACAACTAGTAATTAGGGATTTTTATAGGCATTTGCTAATACAATACCTACATGTATGGCATTGTTAATGGTTTATACATTTAATATTGTATAATGGCAGTATACAACGCAGCTTGCAGCATCGACTCATTAACGCTGCGCATGTTCCAATGTGTTCTACAAACGTCGACAAAAGGTCTGGAACATTTGCCATAGCTCCAGGTGAAAAGTCAGTTTTTTTTAGTGTATTCAGATCTTTCTTCTCTCCGCGGAAGACGGTCTTAAGAAAATAGTCCAAATATCTTTGGACAACGGGCGAATGTTTGACGACTTGCGTGAGTTTGCCGATTGGATGTTTGTTGTTCAGCCTCGTTCAAACTAATTCCCCAGGGCATTGTTTTATACGGACTTTATCCCAGGGAATACAAACCAAAGCCTGGGATTAATGGATCATTCGTGACCTTCTGGTTAAACGTGGCAAGATAGGAAGGAAAGTAGCAGTGTTGTAGTTTTAGCCAGAAGATCTGCTTTTAGGTGTTAGTTTTTCTTGCCGGAGTCACATGCTTCATTGTTAATGATTTCTCACCGTGTTTCCGCGATGTGATGTGACATACCGGGTCTCAACAGAACACGACGTGCTAAGAGCGAATAAATTCCCTCGTTCAGAGTCACGAATAGTCTTTTTGAAAAGTGTTTAAAAATGGTACTTTTTTTGTTAAGAAATATGTAACTTATTCAAGGAAACGTGGTTATCTTGATGTAATGTTCTTAAGTAAGAAATTTCGTCCATTTTTTGGACTGTTTTAAATGATAATGTGCAGAAATATATGCTCTGTGTGCCAGTGGATATGTCTGGTGAACTTTGTTTGGCACGGACTGTAGTGATTTGACAAGATTAACTACATCCTTCTATTTAACTAGAGTCAATGATAATCTAGTAAACATGTACACCGTAAATAGTTTCTCGGCAGGATAAAACAAACGGATAAAACAGTATCCGTTGAGATCATTTACGGATAAATAAAGAACTATATTGTCAGTTGTCAGCGTCCGACTCACTGATAACTGACCTTGTGATGTAAGATATTGATGCGGACGTTCCAGGAAAACTTGCATTTTTTAGATACCTTTTGTGAGAGAGAAGAATATTGATTTCAACGATAGAGGTGAAGGGGGATGTGAAATGGGGTTAAACGTTGCGTTCAAGAATATTTCACTTATATATCGACGTGCATGCGGGTGCGTGTTTGGCCGCGTGTACTAATCCGGGCGGTTTTATAGTGCCAGATACCACATGCCGCAGCTTAACATGGATAGCCCACTCGGACACAGTACACTTAAGTCCAGTCCTTGTTTTATCCCCTTAATGCCCAGCACCAGACAGGGCAACAACAAATCCCATCGTTTAACGGTTTTGGTATGATGCGGCCGGCTTGCAGGGGATCGAACCACCGACCTTCCGCTCTCCGGGCAGTTTTCGATAATATAATTTAAAAATGACATTATATCATAAAGAAGCTATCACGCTTGTGTGCTTTGGGGATGGCACATATCTGTACTGGGAGCAGACGCTCGTTAAGGCACGTTAAATACAATGCATATTACTCTGAGGATATTTACCATACCAAAACACAAGCGCAATAACCTCCATGACTATATAAGCCATCAGTACAATGTAGATGACTGTAAAAAAAACATTTCCATAATCATAAGAAACATTTGCCAAAAGTAGAGTCCACTGTACGATTCCAACTACGTCATGAGCATGTGTTAGTGAATCACTATCAAATAGTGATGATACCAGGTGTTCGCGAGAAGGAGAGCTCATCCAGCCTCACCGGTGGCCCCCTTCACAAATACATGTTTCATTAGTTCTCTGTTCACGTTATGCAATATATTCACAATCTGCATAGTGATATATATAACATATCAGAAATAGCAATATTTAAAATATTATGAAAAATAGATAAAGGCTATGTGGAATTAAAATACTCGATTCTGAGTTGTCAATCCGAGGTTTCAAATAACGATAACCCTCTCATTGCAACAGCTTATTTGACAGCCGCATCGCCGCGGAAGCGCATATTTTGGCCATGCTCCATCTCAATTATCGATAGGTATTTAGAAATAGTTATATGTACAACTGTAGGCAAACAATTCAGAGGTTTAGTTATTATAATATTTAAATTATGTGTGGCAATATATATATTGGGCAGAAAACATGATAGGAATGGACCACGAAATTTATATGACATTGTACGTCTAAACAGTTCACAAACTTAGGGTGATTATTCGAGCCAAACATAGGTTTCATCACAATCATCGGATTTTTTAACCTGCCAAAGACAACATGCCAGATGTTCCCTCTGTCGCCGGTTTAAACTTCGATTGGTTACACTCCAAAGCCAGATTGTACTTGACTGCTAAGTCATTTACACTGATTTGACTCTATTTTTTTTATCGTTCTGTATTTCCGAAAAAAATATATTTAAACAATACCTGGATTAGTTCTTTACTTTCAAAACAGCAATCGATACGAAGCGCACCGGCAATGCCATAAGGCAATCGGTTCACCTCGGAGGACGATTATCAAAATGTGTATTATTCACTTATACAAATAGCATCTTTTTAGAACAATTCAGTATCCTGAACGTTTGTCACATGTGAATTGGAACATTCAATATTTGAACCGACTTCAAAATCTGACAGAATATTAAAGAATGTTCAACGTGCGACCCTGAAACTAATGTCGAAAATAAAGTGCAAATATGATAACGATAAAAGGACAACGCGAGATCTAGATATATTTGCTTTAAAGGATTCTGTGATATGTATTTGCTTTTCTTGCTTTTTATTGTTTTTTTTATATTATAAACTGGTTAATTAATCATCCCATATATGCAAGGGACATCGTGTATTTCCTACGTGTGAACATAAAATAAAAATGTGGAAGTAAGCAAAGTGTTCAGTGTTCAAAGAGTAGCCAGGGTCATCCAAGACCTCGACATTCGCTGTGCCTAAGGCGTGACTAAATATCCTTTATTGTATGATCCTGGGTTCGAATCCCAGATTCGCTCTGATTAATTATTTGTCAGCACCACATGCGTGCTCGTAGAGCATTTGTATCTAAACGTTGTAACCAAAGATAAAGTGACATCTCTATCTTCAAAAGTCCAGGACTGTTTCTCCAAAAATGAAAGCAAATGTCATCTGAGATTTACTGAGAAAACAAGACTTGAAATGCTCGACTTACTCATCCATCACATCAATGAGAAATTTGGGGTTAAGACACTTTCGCAAGAAGTGGCACACGCACTGGAACCAATAGTCCTGAGGTAGGAAAAGCTCACCTTTCGCGATCTCCTGGTGCTCTCACTATTTGATAGTGACCCAAAGATCATGATGAAATTGAAATCGTACAATTGACTCTGCTTTAAGTAGAGTGAGTAAGTGGGTGTAACGCCGCTTTTAACAGTATTTCAGTTATATCAAGGCGTGTCAGCTTAATGTGTGAGGAAAGCCCGAAGTGATGCAGGTCTCAGACGTTTACCACTACGGTTGAGCCCACGAGCATGGGTTAAGGGCTGACAAACCTAGAAACATAATTGGAGCGAACCGGGATTCGAACCAACAATCATAGGTTTCTGGCGTGCCCAAGGGACAGCGAATCGCTGGGCCGCCCGTGCCCCTTGGGGATTGGAGATTTCTTATAATTATGGAAATGGTGTTTGTCTCTTTTATTTCTTGGACTTGCATCACTTCAGGGTTACTGTTGTGCAGGATATGCTTACCCTCTTCGCGAACACCTGGTGTCATCAGTGAATTTTCAGTGGTCCATTCATATTATTTCCACAGCTATTTGCCTTTTACGCCAAGTGGAATCTGTTTCAGCTGAAAATCTAGGTTGGTTATTCTCTGCATTGGCAATTTATATTTACAACACCAAACTGGCACGAGGTGATATTACTGTGGTACTCTTAGCATTAAACTCATTGCTTTACTCAGTCATTGGAACATAATATTTCAATATGTAATGAGCTACATTACTGCACTGAAACCTCGTGCATATATCTGGGAATCTTACATAACGTTGCAACATTTCATAGGATAAGGTCCATGCGACATAGTCATTGACACATCGCTCCAGGTGATCATGCTGCATGATCAGCGCACTCCCTCTGTATGTCAATCCACTCCGTGTTCTACTTGCTATTTGTTCACCTGACTCCTTATGTAGGTGCACTGACAATTAAGGAGCATGTGGCAAATATACATCCAAAGTTACACTGCAACGTACACCACAGCAAGCACACATGATTTGTAAATAATCTAGCTTTTTTTCTAATATTCCATAATCCTTCTTACAACACGTAACCGCTGACATTGTATTCTACACATAAAAGCAACACCGTCGTAACTCCTCCACTTTGAAAACATTATTTTAAAGAACGACAAAAATAATAATGGGCGCATATGTGGCACTTTTCAAAAGTTTATTGGCAGCTTCTCGCTTTGAAGACTCGCATTGAACGTGACCATTTGAAGTCGTAAAGCCAGTAAGCCGGGATATTTGTCAACGATTCTTCTTTCAACGAGACAAGAAGGAACGACGAAATCCCCTAATCGGCATCACCTATATACTGGCCTCCCTGGATTACCTCCCTTTGAGTAAGGCTATTGTAAGACGTTTCCTTGAAAGAGTAGCCCCATGTTGTTAATCTGATTATCCGAGGGGATAACAATAATCAAAGATATTCTATGGCGTTTGAAAGTAATTGTACTTTAACATTTAACACTGTAAAGTACATAATATCACATTCGTAAAGGTACAGGAGCTACCCAAGGAATATAAATAATTATAAAATCATGATAGATTTGTAAACTAATGTACTCACTTACAATACCATGACATTATTGCCACATACCTCTTTTGATTGTCTGAAAAATGTTCCAGAAAAAGGGTTCGGGCAAACATCATCCATAAAAGTTGACCAAAATCATTTGTCTTTACCAAGACATTCCTATGCATTGATTCTATGCATCTTCCGGTACTCATCATATCATTGTTGTCATATTCAATTAGAACATACACATTTGATGTGTTTGCATTGTACAAACAAATATACGATGGCCCCATGTACGGGTAGAGCAAAACTTACCTAAATAAACATTTGATCTCCATCATTACCAAGAGACTTTAAGAGTACCTAGCGTTGGTAACTGCAACTTTAACTACCATCCTTTTGACAGAGAAGTTCACACCTCTCTTCTTTGTTCAGTAGCATCTCAGTTCCCTTGTAGAATCACGAAGACGAAAATGTGCGCTGCGTCCATGGCTAGACGCGATGAGCAAATTGTAACAGGAGTTTGCTAAGCACTTAAAGTCGAGTCTGATTCGGGTCATGGGACATTCTCTGCAGAAAATAAATATTGAGAATGTGACGGAGCAAGCTTTGCCCCGAATGTACACAAGAAGGAGCGGCCACGTCGAGGGCTAGTTTACCATCAGCAGTCGTGCTGGAAAGTCTCTGTGCTCTTACCTGAACAGTTTATAACATCGTTTACGGCGTTCAGCATTAAAGAAGAAAGCGGATACACCTTTTGTTCAGACTTACGTTTGGTCTGCGTCTTGAATTTGAAGACTATTCAAAAGTTGGTGTGTGATATACAACGTGGATTATTCTTGTTTGGACTACTATAATTTGTGTCTGTGATGACTGCTTTCAGTAATATGTAATATCGTTGCATGCAATGGAATAGCACCTCCAACACTGACATATAGTTGCTTTACAACATCTGTGGTTGCTGCGAAATCAAGATGGCGCGACACATTAGTGTGTTGAAACATCCGGCAGTATTACTTATAGCTACGCTGGCATCTGTCTGTGGTGAGTGGAAAAGCAAAGATGAACACTTGGAATATTATTCCAACTTGTTCGTAAAACATAACATATAATGTTGTCTGTTTTATATAATTGTAGTTATGTTAGTATGCAATTTTAAGTTTCATTAATTAACCTCGACACATTAAAGTGCGTCTGAACAGTACATTTATTTCAGAACAAAATCGAAATTACTCTAATTTATGGTATTAATATATGCTTAAATCCCAACCATGTATCGACGTCTAATGGTTCGTCATATTTCTCTATACTGTAATTAAGAATATTGAACTAATATTCTGTGAGCATGAAGGAAAAGAGGGATACATTCTCATGCCAAACAATGCAATAATCCACCTGCTAAAATTCAGCTCAGTAAGGAAAATATAAATGATATAATTCCAATATCGTGGTTTGTGTATAATATCATTTGTGTGTGGAAAAGATGCTATATGTCATATTTATTACACTGTTTTACAAACATGTCCACGGAAGAGTAATTCTTCAACAAACACCTTTCGTCATCCATACTTGTTTGCATAAAAAACCCATCATCTTTTGTCAGACACAACCCATTTAATTGTTTATTGATTAGTTTATTTTAGGTTCCATTCTTCAATCTATTAAATATAATTTTCAATGCTGAAAAGTAAGAAATTGAATTTTCTAAATCTTTAAAATGTCTTGTTTTGGTCCGAAGGTAATGCAAATTTACCTCCTTGCCAGATTTCCTTGTAAAGGATTAAAGCCGACGTTTTGAAAGAAAACGTTTGTTCCCTTGCCTGTTGGCAGCTTCATAGTCTCAGTGTAAACATTTCCCTTTCACGTCCAAGAAGAAAACTAACTGAGATTTAAGGAAGTACATAGAAGGTGAATGAGATAAATAGTTTTCAACCGAATGACGTTTTTGTCTTAAAGTGCATTGACTTTTTCAAATGCTTGGCGTACTTTATTCAAGTTCATAACGTAATTAGGTTTCAAGTGGTTGGCATGCTACTTTCAGTCAGCTGTTTGACAAACTAGCTATTTACAAATGCACGGCGTAATTGGTTTTCAAGTAAAAGACGTACAATAATATTTTCAAGTGAACGACGTATTTTTGTTACACGTGAATGATGTAGTTTGTTTTTTCGGGTAATTGATGTATTTTCGGGTTATTGATGTATTTTCCTGATAATTTCGGGTGTTTGATGTACTAATTTGTTTTCAAGTGAATGACGTTCAATTTTCAAGTGCATGACGTATTTTGTTTTCAATTCACAGTGTGTCGGCAGATGTGCTATAGCTGCAACTACGTTGGCAACATCCTGAGTCAAGGGTACGAGTGTGTCTCTTATCCAAAAAACTGGACATATGGAAATTGGAGACTTAGGTGCAACACTAAATGTACGACACAAAGTACATACGATAAGGGTGAGTGTAACACATATTCACTAATAATTACACATCCATCCATTTCATAAACGGACATCAGTGTAGCCATGTTTGAACTGAGGAAAGGGAATGAGTGATATATGTGCACCCAATGATTTATAAATCTGTGAAATCAGACACTGCTTTGTTGCGGAGTTTCCATTGAACCGATTTCAAGTGATCAGAACATACTTCTTCACATACAAACAATATTATGGTCCACTGTCCTGATCAGGAATAGTTAAGAGTGTTATAATGTAGAATAATGTGTAGCACAGGTCGGAAATGAAAATCAATGAGGATATTGATGATGGAGTGACCACTGTTGTATAATTGTAACTCAACCGGTCATGAGGTAAATCGGGGTTTAACGTCCCGTTCAAGATTGCACGTATGTAGCGACGTGCGTGCGTGCGTGCGTGCGTGCGTGCGTGCATGCGTGAAGTATGTGTGTGTGTGTGTACTAGTCCGGACTAATACCGAGTTTATAGTGCTGGCCCACTGAGATACCGTGCCGCAGTTTAACACGAATACCCTACTCAGACAAAGTATACTGACTCCGAGCCGACCAGTCCTTGTTTTAGCCCCTTCATACCGAACGCCAGGCAGGGTAACAACAAGTGCCATCTTTTAACGTCTATTGGTATGACAGGGCCAGGGTTTGAACCCCGGACCTTCCTCTCTCCGGTCAGACGTTCTACCACTAGACCACGGCGGTGGTCCAACCAACCATGACCTTGCCATATCGGAAATTAATATTTCCATCAAACAAGACTGTGTAAATTAATTTCAAAATGAGACATTACAAGTTAGCCTTACCCAGCTCAATTTCTACTATAATAGATCCAATTTATGTAATAATATCAACTATGGTACATGTCATTCGTAATGTGATTCTTAATGAATGTGTATGAGACGAATTGATACCATGGAACTGATTGACTTTGGGTCCTTTAGACAGAGGCGGCGCCATTACCTCAACAATGATAGGCTAGACGTCGTTACACATTAAGGCCCACATTTCCGTGTAGGACCGCATTTTGATCTGAAATAGCTCATGTCAATATTCTCTTCCCCAGAGACCGGCAAGGCCACTTTCATGGCTCGTGGATGTAGCGGTTCCATGAAGGTTCCTGAAGACTATTGTGAGGAAGACGACTTCAGCGTCCGCTGCTACTTCACCTGCGAAGACCACTACTGCAACGATGGGCCTGGTATCGACGACAGTTTCCTGGAAATCATTTCTGATGGAGGAGGTGCCGCTAGTCGAGTGTCACTTATTACTGTTCTGCTGGAAACACTCGTAGCTTTTTTCATCAAGATGTGTCTGTAGTTGGAAGAAAATACCTAATACTTGTATAGTATATCAACATCCACATATGGACCACCTGTCATGAGATTTTCTAATTTCCACATTATGGACTTAAACGTCAATGATGAAATAATGTTAATGATTTGAACATTTTTAAAAATAGATAATATACTTTATTGCTTTTGCCAAAGATGAAATTAGCAATTGACCGACGATGTGACGTTGTGGGAAGCGGTGTGGCTTTGAATTGTTCGAAAAGTATGAACTGTACGTTGGACATTCTGGATGTACTGTGAAAATTGAGTATCGAAAAAAATCCGCGACACAAACCTTCAGAGGTTCAATTGGATGTTCTGAAGCACTGACGGAAAAATATCCACTCTCGATACAATTCCTAGCCACCACTCCTGAAATGATCGGTCCCTTAGCGACAAACACCTTTTTTTAAACATTTGAATTTCGCTTAAATGATCTGAAAAAATCTAAAAATTAATAAGAAAATATACTTCATTTATTTTATATAAGCTTTTCGAACTTACATACCATTTTCACAGATTTCAGTATTTTTAAACAAATAGTGATGCAGTCAAAATGGCACCCATGTCTTCTTATTGCAATGCTTTTATGCTTCTATATATGCTTAGAGTATATAGCATCAATTATGCAAGAAGTGTTCATTTCGCATGTTTCGTAAATTAATGTTTGCGCAGTGATTCATAGAATTCAAACATGAAACAGCGAACTTTTTTTATATATAATCTGTCGATGCTTAAAGCAACACCGTGCGGTAAATTGTGAAGCATGTTTACAAAAAGGGCAGCTGTTACATCAGCTCTTACATCACTAAGTGCCTTACCGGAAACCACATAATGCTGAAGCTGATTAACCCGGATAAAAAAGTCAGACATTGTCTGACACTCCCCCGACAATGCCGGGTCCAACTACTGCTAAGTATATATACCTCATACCATTGCCTTTGTTTCCATATTAAATATATTGATATTGTTTTGTTCATCAAATTAAAAATATTTATTTCCAATCACAATTTCTATATGTATATTGTTTATGCTTGAGTTATGATCTATTGTGTTTGGTAAAAAAATTGATTTTAACTTAAATTGTTACGTTTCTTTTGAAAAGATTTATGAAAAATCTGTTTTATTATTTTAATTAAACATGGAATTAAAATCATATTTACACATACTCCCTGTACGGCTTTTATTAGAAATGTAACATTTACAAGTGCATATGGTACCGTACATATATGTACAGTGAAATCACGTGATTCCCGAAAGAAAACTTTCCGAACATTAGGAACACCTATGTTATACACACATTAAAAAAAATCGTTAATTAAGAAGTTAACCCAAACGACATCGTGTTATAAGTCCGGATAAATGGTTCACTTTAAACAATTACACGGACATACAGAGTGATTTAAGATAAGGTAATCGGACTGATTACTATTGAACAATTTGATGTAACTTGCAATTGCATAGAACAGCTTTGAAGGTACTTAGACTTGTACCGGTACAACACCCCTAGATGGGGATGCTGAGGTAGTTCAGACCTTATAAAACGAGGACAACGTTTAGAACTCCCCAATTCCATAGCCAAATCAAATACAATTCTCGTGGCAACATTCCAAACAACCTGACACATTCACTTAACTGGACACTATTCCTACCAAAAGTTGAAGCGTACTGAATATGATTGAGTGAGCGAGTGAGTTGGGTGTAACGCCGCTTTTAACAGTATTCCAGTTATATCACGGCGTGTCAGCTTAATGTGGGAGGAAAGCCCGAAGTGATGCAGGTCTCAGACGTTTACCACTTCGGTGCAACCCACGAGCACGGGTATGGTGCTGACAAACCTAGAAACAAAATCGGGGCGAAACGGGATTCGAACCCACTATCATAGGTTTCTGGCGTGCCCAAGGGACGCAACTCTGCACAGCGAATCGCGGCGCCTTAGACGACTGGACGACCCGTGCCCCCGTATTAAATATGACAACACGGTATGACATGAACATCATTCGACTCTTGTTTGACCAAGGCTAAGATATATAAGGTATCAGTAAAGCTTTCAAAACGTGTTATGGTTTCCGTATTTTTTTAGATGAACAGTTGACTTGCCTTTGCGTGTGTTTGTGACGGATGCCAGTGGAGTAGGATACGTTCACCTTTTCGCGAACACGGGAAAGGTTTTGTCGCTTTTGTCGCTTTTATTATACAAATACAAAAATAGCGATCAATGTTTAGAGATCATATACCGGGTTGAATGTTGACATGAGCGGTGTTAATCCACTTTCAGAGCCGGGCCAACACAGATGAGTCGTTTTCCTTGCATACGTTCTTGTGACAGTACAACCATCTAGCGAACAGTGTTTGAGATGTAAATATTCTGTCAAATTACATAAATATTAAATATTTCTTGGGACCGTTTGCGTCAGTAATTCTAACGTAAAACCTCCCTGTTTCAAGGTGATTGTAAATGTTGACAATGGGTCCGAATATGATATGTAATAGTTGTTAATGTGTCCCATACTCACTTGTTTACACCCTTTTACAGAAAGTTCAATTTCGATTTATCAGTTGAAACTTTAATTTTAAACATGTGTACTTTCCGGAACTAAATCTGATTATTATAAGAAGATATGGTGTTAAAATGTTACACGGAAATGTAACTCATTCCATGCGCCTCAGACGTGTTTGAAACATGTAACTATATTTGGTTTGTCATGATGATCAAACACTGAAATGTGGTTTGAATTGACAAGGCAGGACGCCAAAGTTTCTTTACCTTCATATAACACACTTAATTCACACAGGGGGCACGGTCGTCTAAGGCGCCGCGATTCGCTGTGCAGAGATGCGTCCCTTGGGCACGCCAGGAACCTGTGATTGTGGGTTCGAATCCCGGTTCCACCGATTATGTTTCTCGGTTTGTCAGCACCAGATCCGTGCTCGTGGGTTGCACAGAATTGGTAAACGTCCGAGACCTGCATCACTTCGGGCTTTCCTCCCACATTAAGCTGACACGCCGCGATATATTCATATTATGATATGGGTAAAATTGCTTCAAATATTGATAAGTATTCAAACTCTGTGGCCAACAACTTGAGTTTGACGTTGTTACCGTGCGCAATGAGGTAAAAATAAAGTCGTCCCATAGATGTTTTTATGACAAGAACGAAAGTTGGGTTTTAGTTTTTACCTATCATTTGCGGCAGAAAACAAATTCAACAAATAACAAAAATGATGTTTACAAGACAAAATACTTCTTTTTTTTTCAACTGCAGAAACAAACATGCATATAACACGTTCATGTCAGCCTCTCCCTGGCGGAAATGCACAACAGACATCGAGACATTATCCTAATGACATCCTAAGCACGATTACTTATTTCAGTAACACAACAAAACACACATCCTGGTTTAAACGTCAGCTATCTACCTGTGCTGCGCACATACCTGGCGTATGTACCTGTAGGTGGTAGGTTCACGCCCACAGGTAAATATTGACAAGCGTTAAACGATCACGACCTGACAATGCCCACGTAGATTTATCTAGCGTCGCACTGGACACACGTGAAACACAGAATGAAGGTGTGATTGTAACCCTGATGACGCATGTAGGTCAGAACAAAGGCTGTCGAAGAAGACTGTGAGGTTATCAATGAGCCATGTGCATGCAATATTCACACTTAACTGTCATGGACAAGTTAATTAGGCGCTTTGTGTGAACCTGATACGTCCTACAAATCGAAGTGTATATAAAGAAGCTGATTTTGAATAGGGAGGCATAAAATACCCTTTAAGGAGATATTTTTATACCATCGTATTTATAATAAATCATAAATGGATTTAAAGGGATTCTTCGAATTGTAAGCAAGGAAGATGATTACCACTGGTGATCTGTATCAAAGTTTTATTGCATATTTACAACAAAATCATATTGAGAAAGCAAGTTAACTGAGAGTTCTAGTGAAACATCGTTAGTCTTAACCCCTTTAATCAGGAAACTCACTTTAATGCTGGGCGTGCTTACACGTTAAATTACTCTGTACCAATTATGCGTTTCTCAGGACATTCGTTAATCTGGACACTTTCACTATTTCCGTAATGTCATAATTATGTAAGTTAAGGTTCAGTTATTATACCGTAAGGTAGTTTATGGTTTATCCACGCGGCACTTGGTGACATGGGTAGACCAGTAATCAAAGGTGCGGCTATTTGCCGGGCAGAGTCACGTAAAACCTATTGGTGTTGGCGGGTGTGACCGAAGTGGTTAAAGCGTGACACATGCATAACTTCAGGCTTTCCTTCCAGGTCAAGCTGACACGCTGTGATATAACTCTCATAATGTTCAATACGGCACCAAATCAACCTTATTACTGACTGACAGACTGACTCGCTCACACGATAGTCTCATATATTACTTCCACGGTACAAAATGATATCTTGTTTGCTTATACAAATCACTACACATCCGTTTGGGGACAAAACTCTGGTTGGCCCTGTATATCTGTGGCAAACGGCTTGTTGATAGTTTGCAGCCTTTTTGTACAGGTATATTCATGAACCTTTGTGCGTCCTTCTCAGATGCTTGACCCGCATTTATTTTCCGGATGGGCACGTCTTCCAGATATATAAACTCCTTTTGCCGCCTAGGCTTGTTTGAGTCTTTGTTGTCTTTGAACACATACGAGATCATATCTGGGTCCTTGTACAGGATCAGGATATCCTCATGTTCGTTGGACCCCCAGGTAACTTTCACGTCTAATATCTGACTGTTTCGTTCTCTTAAAACCATTTGGAGAGCATCATCATCTGACGAGAAACAGCTAAAGCTGCCAAGGTCCTTGTATAAACCGATGAGACGCGGTACTCTAGGTGTGTCCATCAGCTACAATGAGAACATTAATATGAAGATGTAATTGGTGCATACAACGGAATATTTTAGAAACAATATATTGATGACTGCAGCGTAAAATGACGCTCACAGTTGAACGGATTTTAATGTCAAGATTTGAGCAATTTATGACGCCGTGATATTTTACGAAAAGCGACAAAATCACTCACTCACTCGTGGTAACATGTGGTTAAGAAATTTCGAAGTTCACATTTATGAAAAAAAGAACTGTAAGACATTATTGTACACAGGCTGCTTTAATTAGGTATTTGCATCCTATAGTGTTTGACATACCTTGTCGTCAGCCTTCACGATATCTCCACAGCTGTGTGAACGTAGATACATCTGTCTGGTTCTTAGGGTGGTCCTTGTGATCGGCACGATGTCTCTAGATCTGTTATATGACTTGTTAGTTTGTGAAATGGAAGGAAACGTAAGACCACCACGCATGGCTTTCCATGTCTTCATGGTCACATTGGTCTCATTCATGAACGTTTCTATATCGACCTCTGTGTAGTTCTTACGAAGGTGTACAGTATTCCGGGAAGAACATTTTGTCATATTTGGCAAAGACAAAGAACGTGTGAGTGGAAAGTTTATGAAACTATAAGTCCTGTTGTTTGAATGTTTTGATAGCTGTCTTCGTTTTCGTAAAAGGTTGCTGCTGACACTCGGGGTAGATTCTAGCACAGGCGCATTTGACTGCCCAATATATGTTTCATTGTCCTTGATAATCCCTGTTTCTGTACCCTGTCTGCATTGTCCATTCATATTTCTATGATGTTTCAGTAGGCCTGTTATCGAGTGAGTTTCTGCTCCCTTGTCCGCACCAGGGGTTTGTGTAGCTACAGACCTAGTTGATGTTCTTGACGAAAATTCACTCAGCACCTTCTCGTAGCTATCGTCTGCAACGTCAAGCAAGTGGTTCAGGAGGAAACTCGGAGACTGATATCTCCTCCTCGTGAATTCCCTCTGAATTGTCTCTGTGTATCTGTTCTTAGGCCTCCTGTGACGTCCTTCAGTCCTGCTCATCTGACTGGCAACTGTTGATACAGATTGTGTGCATAATGATGGTCCTGTGTGAACGCTATGTTTGCCTTCTGAATTCTCACTACATCTACTCGTTTGACCATGTACCTCTGGATGGGATGTACACCTTTGCCCTGAGATTGTGGAATTATATAGATGTGACTCATTGTCATGTGTTCGTGCATGTGGGTATTCAGTGGGTAGAGAATTGCGAGATTTAGTTAATGGCATCAAGGAGTC